ATTGTGCGTGGGGTCACCATGTGTCTAGACCAATGTGACGGTAGCTAACAACAACCACCTACCTCCTCGTAGGGTTGTTGTAGGAGTACTTTAAATGATAAATGTAAACTATACAGCATGTGTGTGCTTGAAGCACAGTATACACAAGGTTTACTTTCCTTGTTTGTTTACTTTTGTTTTCCCAGTAGAGTTAAGAAATTGAGCACAGAGAAGTATTGAAGAGAGCCCATGAACAACGTGACCTTAACGTAGGTCAGATACGGAGTGCCTCTGTTTCTTCATCTATAAAATGGGTAGCTGGGGACTATGTGATCGCTAAGGTCATTCATTCATTCACTCACTTAATTGAGTAAAAAGCATTCTGTGATAACGAACAAGGCTTTTCTGAGGTTCCTAACTAGGAAAGACGCTTAGGCTAATTCAAAAGGAATTTCAACATATGCAATAGATTTGTTGGTCATTTTCTAGTAAACAGCTCAACATCATCAATCATAAATAGCTTACTTTGGTTCCTTGCTGCTAAGTTTTATGGATAACTTTAGAAGCCCAATGTCAATTATTTACCAAGCAAGGCTTACTTCTAAAAATGCATTTGGGTTATTATTACCAATTAGTATAAATAATTGAACTCTGTTATACGTCACTTAGTTAGGTTAAGCTTGCTGAAATTATTACACATTGTCTGTAGCAATTTAGTATGGATTATAACATCTCTTCACACTGTATGAGTTAATAATGTAGGCATATCTGTTTCCAGGTACTAACTATGGCTCTGAATCTCTCATTTTTTTTACCTGGTTAAGTGAAATGTACAGTTGAGGATTTAAATGAGGCATCTTGAGATTCCAGGAGCCACAAGTGCAACTATTTTTCTTATTTTTGAAAAGCATTATATTGTTCTCATTTATGCATTCTCTAATCATTGAAACTACATCCAAATAATCCTTCAGAAGTATTAAGACCTATTCTCTAGGTTTGCAGGGGAAAACATAATTTTAGGAATATTTTTATACTTTAGACATTTTCCTGTATTTAAAGATAGTATAATTTATATCTCACTTCAGGAGAATATGGGCTTTTTTTTTTTTTTGGAGGAATAAGAAAATTCACATAAAAGTTAGGGAAATGAGAATAGTAGCTTAAAAAGCAATTTATTAACATTTCTCCATGCTAAGTGTTTTTGGTTTGTATTGTTTGGAAGTCTTGTGATTCCCAAGTCTAGCTTATTCCCAAATATCCCTTTCTGAAAAATAGTTAAAGTGATATAAATTCAATCCAGCAAAGTCACCAAAGTTTAACGACTTGAGTGTCATAGATTCAGTGTATAAGCACAGAAAGCATTTCATTCTTTAATCTTATAGCTTCGTTATCTAGATATTTTTCTTACAAAGAGTCACTCAAGGGATATGATAAAGAAGCTTTTATTTAAAAAAACACTTGTGTTTCCTACACTCCTGCAATACTCTTTCTCCAGCCCCAAGGCTCTGCAGAGCACAAAAGTGCACCATGTTGTCGAGAATTTTTTTTGATAGATATCTGAAAGTTTTTGCCATCTGCATATGAGTTTGCGCGCAAAATATGCCATTTCTCATATTGTCAACTCTAGTTAAATTCAGTTGATATAATGTATTTAGTGCAAACTGACAACATTCACTGTTCCTATTCTGGAATTGTTTCTTACTATGTACAGCAAATCAATATAGAACCAACTGTAATGGGTTCCAACACTTTTGGAATTCTGGTATATGCGTATAGGAAAATTCAGCTCTTTGTTATTTTTTGATGGTACAGTTTATCAAACCACTTTCATATTTTGATATTTTGTGCGTGTTTAGCCTCATAGTTCATCTAAATATATTTCTCATATACTTTAACAAAGGAATAGATGTAAATTTTTTTAGGTTTTTGCAACAAGGGGGTCTCCTAGACCCCAAAATATGGTAATAAATTGTCATCGCCTGGATAATATCATTTATCTATACATATACATATGTTTGCGTGATGACATGCAGGGCTATTCTTTTTGTGGTTATACAACTTTAACATTTAACAAATTTTAATCAGTATCTTTATTTTCTCTATCACACAATATATACAGACTTTAGAAAGCTGTAACTCTGATTACTACCTCTCAATTTGCATGCTGTTATTGACCAGTGTTTTGGCTTTATCCCCTTCACCCCATAAATTAGATATCTTTATTACCATTTATACAACCAATGCTTTTTAGGTTTCTCATGTATTTGCTAATGTCTTTGTTACCATTCTTTCTTGTACCCAGACCATCCATTTGGAATCATGTTTCTTCTGCCTGCTACATAAACATTCAAATTTCCTTCACTGAGGGCTGCTAGAGGTAAACTCTCTCAGTCTTGGTTGTCTGAAGATGTTTATCTTTTGCTGTCATTTTTGAACAATATTTTCCCAGAATTGAGAATTCTAGACCGATAGATAATTCCTCTCTATACAGTGAAGATGCTGGCTTCTGGCGTCCTTTGTTAGTGTTGAGGAGGAGGCCTTTGGTCTAATGACTGTTTCTTTATAAATGATGTGTCATTTGTTCTGGCTGCTTTTAAGGTCCCCCCCACCCCCCGCCACTGCCCCACTCCTTTTGGTATTCTCTGTGATGTGTATATGAATGAGGTCTCCTTTTATTTATCTTCCTTGAGATTCATTGTTTTGAGGACTGGCATCTTTCAACACTTCTGAGAAATTCCCAGCTAATATTTCTTCAAATATTGCATCTACTCCATTCTCTCTTTTATTTTTATCTAGAATTCTAATTAGCTCCTTCACAGTTTTTTAATTTTCCTTTATGTTTTCAGTTCATTTGTCTTTCCAGGCTGCATCTGGTTTATTTCTCTGGCTCTATCTTCAATTTCTTAGTTTAATTTACCCGTTGTATCTTTTATTTAAATTGTTACTTCAACTTTTAGAAGCTCTTTTGGATTGTTTTTCGAATTCATATGATCATTCTCTAGAGTCTCTTGTTCCTTGCTTATATAGGCAATCTTCTCATTTGTGTTTTTGAACATATTAAGCATAGCTGTTTTACATTTTGTGTCTGGTGATTTCAGTATCTTAAGAGTCTTATTCTGATGTCTGTTTTTTCTGTTTATTCTCATTCATGCTACTGTATTTCCTTGTGTAATTTGTGATTTTATTTTCTACTATTAAATGCTGTTTTCCTATGGGAATTGAGATGTGGATTGACATTCTCTCACAGAAGATTCACAATTGCTTCTGCCAGTTACCTGGGGCATTATCCATCCAGAACCAGTTTATACTCAATATCCTGCTTGGTGTTTTTCAAACCACACTGATAATGTAAATGTGGACCAAGAGCCTGTGTGAAGGGCCTGCTTGTGTTTCTAAATACTAAGAGTATTTTTTCCCCATTCGCCCAAAACCAAGGTTGAGGCAGGCTAATGTCCTTGGTCTCTTCTTTGGTCCATCAGACTTAGATATTTTTTCGCTCTTATACTTGACCCTTTGAGGGGTCCTAGCTTTATGTGAGGTCCCCTAGTAAGATCCCCAGTAAACCATTAAAGCAGATGTTCAAGGTCCCCAGGGTTCAGCAGAGACCCTCAGGGCTAAAGCCAGCTTTGGTGCTCACTTACCTCCCAAGGTTCCAGGTTCTACTTTGTTTAGAAGTCTGAATATTCCTTCTTTTCATGCTAGCTCAGTAATGAATTTCAAAAGGCTTTCAAATTTGTTTGCCTAGGATTTCAGTTGTTTCCAGCTACAAATGGGAATCTTTATGTAACTACATTGAGAGCTAAATGAGTATCTATCTCTATGGTTATATAGATGTTTAGCATTGTATGTATTTATAACATTTCATTTATATATAAAAACCAAACCAAGCCACTACTGTCGAGTCAATTCTGACTCATAGTGACCCTACAGCACAGAGTAGAACTGCCCCATAGAGTTTCCAAGGAGTAGCTAGTGGATTTGAACTGCCAACCTTTTAGTTAGTAGCCATAGCTCTGACCCAATATATAGTGATCACTTTATTTCCAGTTGCATCTGTTAAGAGCTTGGTATCTTCTATGAATTTTATTTTTTTAATTATTGTACAAGAATAATTTGCATGCCTTTTGTCATTTGTTTTCTTCAAAAGACAAATAAGATATTTGGTATGTAGTTATGTAATTAAATAAATATAATCAGCTATTGGAGCCCTGGTGGTTCAATGGTTAAGAGCTTGGCTGCTAACCAAAAGGCCAGCAGTTCGAATCCACCAGCCACTCCTTGAAAACCCTATAGGGCAGTTCTACTCTGTCCTAGAGGGTCGCTACAAGTCGGATTCAACTCGACAGCAATGGGTTTGGGGTTTTTTGGAGTCCGCTATTACCTTATCGAAGCCCTAGTAGAACAGTGGTTAAGTGTTTGGCTGTTAACCAAAAGGTCGGCTGTTTGAATCCACTAGCCACTCCTTGGAAATCCTATCGGGCAATTCTACTCTGTCCTATAGGGTCGCTATGAGTCAGAATCGATGCGATGGCAATGGTTTGGTTTTTTATTACCTTATTGTAAAATTCTCAGTACATTATGGAGAATTGTGGGATCTTTCAGAACCTCTCAAAATACTAGAATCACAGAAATAGTTATATCTAGGTCCAATTGGTAAAAAGGGATTACCTATATTAAAAACAATAGAAATATTTGAACTGTGACACCAAGGTAAAAGTTGGTAAAATGATGTCCTTTGAGAAAATAATTCATTCTAGGAAGAAACGAGTCTGCACTGCATTTTAGAAAATAAAAAAAAAAATTTAAAGTTTGTAGTGATCCACGATTTTAAGAAAGCTTTTAAAAATGGTGAATCTGTTTGTCTAATGAAGGTTCTTTTGGTAAAGCAAATGATCATTCCTTTTAAAAAAATCTGTTTCACATGAGATGTTTTCTTAAAGTAAGTATACATATACCAGCAATCAGTTAAGCCTCAGCCAGCCCTGCTCTGTGTCCCTAATTTATGGTGTTTCTTCTTCTAGTACGTGCGTGTGTCTTTTGATACAAAGCCTGATCTCCTCCTACACCTGATGACCAAGGAATGGCAACTGGAACTTCCCAAGCTTCTCATCTCTGTTCACGGGGGCCTGCAGAACTTTGAACTCCAGCCAAAACTCAAGCAAGTCTTTGGGAAAGGTCTCATCAAAGCTGCCATGACAACTGGGGCGTGGATATTCACTGGAGGGGTTAACACAGGTAATTGGAAGTGGGGTAGGGAAAGGCACGTAGGCCAGGAGAATGTTGTGACTAAGATTGTTTTTTCCTAAGGGTAAACGCCTTTATATTTCCCTGCCTCATCCCCTACCCACGTGTGCTCACACTCTCTGGTTATCTCTCCCCTCACTTTTTCTCTTTCCCTCCTTTACCTAAATGATAACTGTATAGCTATTTCCTGATATAGGAGAATTACTTAAACATAAGCACCAGGTAGGGATGTTTAAAAGCTGACGATACAGATTTTGTAAACATGACTAGTGGAATTTCATAAGATATTTTCAATAGCCCAAGTTGCCATATAAGCATCCAATAATTTTTAAGTGATACGTTTTGCTTTAAATGCAGCCTCTGCCTTTGTTCTTTAAGCAATTCTACGTTTGGTGCCAAATAGCTTTAATTTTTGTAAAATGCCATTTCCATCTGGAACATAAATTATTATAGCAAAGTCCAGTGTACTATGTGTTTTGTATTTAAAATAGTCTTTAAATCGTTTCTGCACCAATAGAAAACACACCCTACCTGCCAAATGATTTTCTATATAATGACACGGAAAGGCTGTCAAATCAATTCTCACAAACCCGCTGACAGTTCAGTGTGTATCTCTGGAACATTAATAATGGGCAACAGATAATGTAATGGATGCCTGTAAATTTTTTTGACATATTTCCTCAGCCTGAGTCAGAACTCTCAATTGGAAGTGCAGAAATAATGCTGAAGAAAGTCAATTCAAACCTGCTACAAAGCTCAAAGTCCATTTGGAGTTAGTGGGGCTTTCTGAAAATAGCCCTGGACCAAGTAGGAATTTTTTTCCCAATTCAAATAAAATTGTAATTAGCAACAATATTTTTTGTTGTTGTTTGTAATTTGGATGATGTTTGAGTGAGATGTACACTCAGAATTCTCCTAAATACCTAGAATTTGTGGACACTCAGCACACAACTACATAGACAGTGTTTTAGCAGTGAATTCTGCAGTCTGCCCGTGCCCAGTGCTGTTATGCGAAATCCTGATTCAGTCTGTAAACTGACATGATCTTAGAATGACCTACTCAGTCATCTCTTTATTGTTTATCTTATAGTAATCAAATATCTACAGAGCAATTTTATCTCAATGATTGTTCAGGTTTTAGGATCCAAGTTGCACTCATAGCTTAGCTAGGATCACTTGCCTGTGATTGTCCAGACGATTGCTTTCCTATAATACTTACAATACTTGCACCTCATATAGAGACCAACTCAAATGGTTCTAGAGGCTCCAGAGAACCTCTTACTAATATTCTACTTTTGGGAACTTGGAACGTTGTTTATTGTTTTTATTCTTTTATGAAATACACCCAGTATCAAAAAAAAAGAATTTACAGGGTCAATTCTTCAAACCAAAGAACACATCTCTGCCTCACTCTAGGATTAGTGTTCAATTCAAAACACAAAGTGAGGTTCTAATGGTGGGATGATTAGGATAGGGAAGAGGTGATGGGAGGAAGAATTG